ATAGAAATTGAGAAGAAGGATTTTTTTAACCAAACACTCAAAACACCTTTGGAAACCAAGCCTAAAAAATGACCAGCCATATTGTCTCTTAAATGATGAGTGTTTCTAAAGCAATCCCTTGCTGGAAGATACATATATTTACACATAGGAAAATGGGGACTGGTTTTAAGTGGGGAAGGTTTGAGTTGGTTTGTCTGAGTCAAAGAGTTTACAGAGGAAATAAGTGAGCCCATTGATAACATCAACATGTGCTTTGAGTATATACATTAAACATGATTCTTTCAATTACGAGTGGCAAGAAGCTCAAATTGGCTTCAACAAAAGAAATTTTTATTGGCTCATGTAACTGAAAAGGTCTAGGGTTAGCTTATCTGTAATGTAAGCATGACTAAATCTAGAGAGAATAGTTCCCCCAAGGAAAATCAGTGATCTGGGCACCAGAAGATTGATCAACGAACACTGGGGAACCAAAACAATATATGTCCATGCCAATAAGAAGGCCAGAAATGGTTTAGAATGAGAACAGTGGAATTCATACCTTATCAATGTATTTGATGGACACACTGATATTAAAGTCTTAAAGCCATAAAGTTCTCATGAGGACATAGATTCTATGATGATATCATTGGGCCAATTTTTATTTTAGAAGACACAAATATTCTCAGGATAATACGTACAAATTGCCTAGTGTGAGACTTGGTGCATCATATAATAGTATATTATCTTCCTTTCTCACCCTCTTCTATGCTCAGTGGAAACAGATTTGCTCTGAAAAAAAATTGATGAGAATACTTTTGGTTACCAGGATCAGAAAACCAACATAGCTAAAGACAATTGTGCCACAGCTCGCAAGAATTTTCATCTTTCCAACTCAAGAGGACAATTCAGTTCTGAAATGGAAATTTCAGCCCCAATTTCAAATAATCAGGAAAGCCCCTGACTGGCTCTGTATGTACAGAAGCTAACGGCAATCCACTAAGTAGTGATGGCCAGGGAGAGTGGGTCACATGCTATGAAAATGACACACATGCCCACCATTAGGCCTCTGAGTGGAAAAGAGCAGATATATTCAGAGAAGTGGAAATAACTGTGAGAGAGAAACACATCCAAATGTGTCTGTGGGATACGATTTTTAAATGCTAATGAGAGACTCCTCTAATGAGGCCCTGTCCCTTTAATCTTTTGGAAGTATCAATGGGATTCAAAACAGGGACTGGCAAGGATACCATCAACATTTCTCCTCCATTTAGCTACGGAAATCTTCAGGCTGTGAATTGGCCTGGGAGTGTTAGCAATCTGCCATATCCAGGAAGACAGCCAATTCACTGGTCAAAGGTAACGGAATGCCAAAGAGCCAGAGAAACACACACGGCAAGAAAAACGGTAGCATTGTATCCAGGGGACCTGTAAATATTCCATCTGCTGTATACAGGAAACTTTCACTGCAGTGACCAATCTTATAAACTAGAAAAAGATGACAAATTACCTTTTTTTACCTAGTAAAGGACAAAATAATATAAAATAAATGGTAAACAAAGCAAATCTCCTCCTTTCCTAGGTCCTAGCTTTTCAAAAAATAAACGTTTTGTTTGAGAATAGTGTTAGATGTACAGAAAAACTGAAAAATAATCGAGAATTTTCATGTACTGCATATCTAGTTTCTCTTATTGTCAGTATCTTACATTAGGATGCTATGTACTGAATGAAGTCCATATTTTATTCAGATTGTCTTAGTTTTTACTTAAACTAAGCTTAGGATTCCACCAAGCATACCACATTACATTTGCTTGTTGTATTTTCTTAGGGTTTCCAAGACTGATAGTTTTCCCGGCTTTCCTTATTTTTGATACTTTGACAGTCTTGAGAAGTTCTGGTACAGATGATGTAGAATGTCTAATTTGTGGATTGTCTGATGTTTTTCTCATGGCTAAAATGAGGTTAGGGTTTGGGAGAGGAAGACCACAGAGGCAATGTACCTTTCTTACCACATCATATCAAGGGTACATATTATTAACATGACTTATCACTCAGGATATGAGACCTGTTCAGGTGGCTGCAGTAGTGTCTGTCAGGTGTCTCTACTGTAAAGTTACTTTTTTTGCCTCTTTTCATACTTCACTTTTTAGGAGGATGTCACTCTGTGCAGCCTATACTAAAGGGATGGAGAATTAAACTATTATTTCTTGAAGGGAGAGTATTATATAAATTATTGGGAATTCTTCTGTTCAGGAGATTTAATTATTCTCCTTGTTTATTCATTCATTCAAACATTTATTTTCACTAGTATGGTCTCCTGGGTATTGATTTTATAGTCTGGGTTGGACTGTATAATAATCAACACTACCTTTTCTATTTTGTTGGACAAATTGTTCCAGCCCTGGCTATTGGGAGTTCTTTCAGTTGGCTCCTACGTTCCTTTTACATACCCCCATCATTTCTGGCACTTCCTTACTTTCTGGCACCACAAGATGCTCCAGCCTTATCTTTTATTTTCTCTGCCCCAGCCCTAGAATAGGTAATTTCTCCAAGGAGCCCTGGTTATTAGAAAATGGTATTAGATACCAAGGCCTGGATAGTAGATGTGCTTGTTGCTATTGAGATGTTATCTCTAAACCCTTCAAGTGAACAGAGCTTGAAAATATGTATGTGTATCCTAACTTGTGTATATATACATATCTGTAGTTACTTCTGTATTTATTCATCTGTATGTTATACTAAGCTAAATATGAGTTCCTGCTGATGTCTTCAACTCTAATTCAGTACCATATCGTTTATTCTAGCCTCTTCTTTGTGAGACACCTAGCTACCACTATTTATTATTCATTTACTTATTGTTTAATCCCAGGTTTGCATTTGAAAATTAAAAATAAATAAATACATACTTATATAGGAGATAAATATTGGCTTGAATAGGCCTCAGAAAAGTCTGTTCTGAGGAGGAAAGTTTATTTGTTCACATTCTTATTGCTTAATCTGAAATTTTCGCAGTTCTTTTTTTTTGAGATGGAGTCACTGTCACCTAGGCTGGGGAGCAGTGGTGTGATCTCGGCTCACTGCAACCTCCACCTCCTGGGTTCAACTGATTCTCCTGCCTCAGCCTCCCAAGTAGCTGGGATTACAGGCACCTGCCACCATGCCCAGCTAATTTTTGTATTTTTAGTAAAAATGGGGTTTTGCCATGTTAGCTAGGCTGGTCTTGAACTCCTGACCTCAAGTGATCCGCCTGCATTGGCCACTCAAAGTGCTAGGATTACAGGCATGAGGGATGGCACCTGGGCAGAAATTTCTCAATTCTTGACCTCGCAAAATGTGTTGTGGAAACAAATGCTTAATCAGAGAGCAACTGGTTATCTGATGACACTCTCAGGTTTTAACTGGGATAGAGTTGAAATTGAGCATATTTACTTCTTTTGTTGTTGCTGTTGTTTTGAGACAGGGTCTTGCTCTGTCACTCGGGCTGGAGTGCAGTGGTGTGATCAAGGCTCAGTGCAGCCTCAATGTTCTGGGTTCCAGCAATCTTCCCATCTCAGCCTCCTGAGTAGCTGGTACTACAGACACACACCACCACACCCAGATAATTTTTGTATTTTATATTTTTATTTTTGGTAGAAGTGGAGTTTCATCATGTAGCCTATGCTGGTCTTGAACTCCTGGGTTCAAGTGATCCACATGCCTCCACTCACAAAGTGCTGGGATAATAGGCGTGAGTCACTATTATTTATTTACTTCTAATTGGATCTTACGGGGCAGCCAGGAAATCAGTAAAAGTGCATTCTAGAGATATCTTTGTCACTACTTACATGACTATGATAGTCACCTTACCTGTCTAGGCCTTAGTTTTTTTCATCTGCAATTCATTTGCTTAACAGACATTTATTAGGTCACTATTCTTAGTCATTAACTGTGTAAGAAGCTCTGCAGATAAATGTAATGGAAGGCCAGTAAGGTGGCACTCAAAAGGTTTAAGCTAGGAAATTGCCATTTTAATCTTGTTAGCAAAAATATGGAAGAAGTAATGTCCCATGAACCCAGCAATTTCACGTCAAGGTGTCTGCCCTAGAGATCTTCAAGGATATTCACTGCAGAATTGGTTGTAAGAGAAAAAATATTAAAACAGTGTAAGTATTTGTTGTTAAAGGACGAGATAAACAGATGTTTAATCATGCAGTAGAATACTATACAGGAGGTAAAATGAATGAAGTATATATATATATGAGAACATGGCTATATCTTAAAAACATAAATTTGAAAGAAAAAAAGCCATTTTCAGAACAATACATACAGCACAATGCTATTTCTATAAACGTTAAAACACATAGAGCAGCACTATAGATAGTTTATGAAATCATACATTTGTCATAAAAGTACAAAACTCTGGCTAGAGAGAATACGGATTAAGTCCAGCTCAGTGGTTACCTCTGAGGAGGGAGGAGAGCTTCTCACTAGCTCTGTAAAAAGTCATATATTAAAAAGATTAAAAGTTCAGAAGAAAATAGAATTAGATGTTGATAGTTGTTAATTCTGGGTTGTGCATATACATGCATACTTAATGCTGTTCTCTACACTTTATTCATTTGCTATGTTGAAATACTATTTTCCAAAAAGTGGCTTACAGTTTGCATCAAGCAATGGGAATTCAAGTCACCATGGAGACAATTTTTTTGTGAACATCTGAAGTCAGCCTTGAAGATCATCTCATTGTCCCTTCATCTCAAGAAGTACCCGTTTTCTGCCACATGTTTGGGTCCTCTCTCTGGACTCTCCTATCTGTTCCCTCTTCCTCAAGAGCTAAAAACAAATTTCTCTCCCTTTTTCATGCTCTGCAATTCAGCCATCTCCTTTGTACTCTTGACCCCAGCACTCAGTGTCTTGCCATTTACCCCAACAGGATTTTCATGAAACTTCTTCGCTGACAATTTTCCTCCTGTGAGGAATTTTGGCCCAAATTGTGAAATTGTAAAAAATTCGAGTCGGTGGGGCCTGCAGACCCCTGTGTGGCCCGCAGCAGCTCCCTGCCCTCTCGGCCCACGCCCGCCATGGTCAGTCCGCGCCGTGCCCCCTATCGCTCCGGCGCCGGGGGTCCCCTCGGCGGTCGCGGCCGCCCCCAGCGGCCCCTAGTAGTGTGCGCCGTCCGCTCGCGCTCCTGGCCGGCCACAGCCTCCGCGGATCCGGGCCCGTTCGGCCCCTCCCATGGAAGGTGCTCGGGTCTTCGGGACGCTGGGTCCCATCGGTCCCTCCTCGCCTGGGCTCACCCTCGGGGGTCTGGCAGTGAGCGAGCACCGGCTCAGCAACAAGCTGCTTGCCTGGATCGGCGTCCTGGAGTGGCAGGAGAAGCGCAGACCCTACTCTGACTCCACCGCGAAACTGAAGCGGACCTTGCCCTGCCAAGCCTGTGTGAACCAAGGGGAGAACCTGGAGACTGACCAGTGGCCGCAGAAGCTGATCATGCAGCTGATCCCACAGCAGCTGCTGACCACGCTGGGCCCACTGTTCCGCAACTCCCAGCTGGCACAGTTCCACTTCACCAACAGAGACTGTGACTCGCTCAAGGGGCTCTGCCGAGTCATGGGCAACGGCTTCGCGGACTGCATGCTGTTCCCCCACATCTTCCCCTGTGAGGTGCGCGTGCTCATGCTCCTGTACTCGTCCAAGAAGAAGATCTTCATGGGCCTCATCCCCTACGACCAGAGCGGTTTCGTCAGCGCCATCCGGCAGGTCATCACCACCCGCAAGCAGGCAGTGGGACCTGGTGGCGTCAACGCAGGCCCAGTGCAGATCGTCAACAACAAGTTCCTGGCGTGGCGCGGTGTCATGGAGTGGCAGGAGCCCAGGCCTGAGCCCAACAGCCGGTCCAAGAGGTGGCTGCCGTCCCACGTCTACGTGAACCAGGGAGAGATCCTGAGGACCGAGCAGTGGCCAAGAAAGCTGTGCATGCAGCTCATCCCGCAGCAGCTGCTGACCACGCTGGTGCCGCAGTTTTGAAACTCACTCCTGGTGCAATTCCACTTCACCAAGGACCTGGAGACGCTGAAGAGCCTGTGCCGCATCATGGACAATGGCTTCGCTGGCTGCGTGCACTTTTCCTACAAAGCGTCGTGTGAGATCCGCGTGCTCATGCTCCTGTACTCTTCAGAGAAGAAAATCTTCATCGGCCTCATCCCCCATGACCAGGGCAACTTTGTCAACGGCATCCGGCGCGTCATTGCCAACCAACAGCAGGTCCTACACCGGAACCTGGAGCAGGAGCAGCAGCAGCAGCGAGGGATGGGGGGGTAGTGGCTACCCTGGGCTGGGTCCCTCCAGGAGTCACAGACGAGGCCCCTGCAGAGACTGGTGACACGCTTCTGAGCAGGGGCCCTTGGGGACTTGACTGCCCAGAAACATGGAGGATGGCGTCCTGAGGGCTCAAGGACGGTCCCCAACCCTGTATGTTTCCCCAATAAAGGCTTTTAAATACCTAAAAAAAAAAAAATCACCAGCTTTGCGTTTGTATAAGTAAATTCACTAGAAGGAGCACTTTTTGATACATAGATGTGCATATAGTCACTGCTCTGGGGGAAGGAAAAATCCAGAACTGTTCTGCCATAGCAACTGCCCCAGGTGGCAGCTCACAAGGAGAGCGAGCTGTGGTAACCATGATGAGGCACTACCAAGTCCTTCTTCAAGGAAAGACTTGCTGCTCAGCTTCCAGGAGTACTGTTGTAAGTGTTCTGCTGTCAGTTCCTTCAGAGAATGCATCGTTGGGAAAAGCCACCTTACGCAAATCACAACCTTTCTGAGGCAGCTCTCATCCACTGACTGATAATGGCAAGTGTATAAAGGCCTGGTCATTTGGCCCAGTGTGGAACATTGCTTAAGGCCCATTTTCTCTCTAGAGTGCCCATGAAGTCAGCTAGGCTCTTGTCAGGCTGGCGTTTTAGTTTCACGTTTTTCCTACACCCAATCCTACTTCCTTATCTCCTATCCACAGGTATTGGTCTCAAGGTAATGCTAATAAACATCCTGCAGAGAAAACTCCATCAGGTACCCTCCTCTCCTTCCTTCATACTCACTAGTTATGAAGTGTATTGGTCTGCTATTGCTGCACTAATGCTGAATAACAAACAACTCCATATAACAACAGACATTTATTTCTTGTCATCAGTCTGGAGGTCAATTTGCCTTTGCTGGATTGTTGATCTTGATTGGGTTTAGCTGGCCACAGTTCAGTTTCAAGTCTACTCCACTGATCTTTCATTCTAAAAGCTAAGCTAAAAGAGTAACAGCTACTTAGGAAACATCCTTCTTGTAAGTGGATGGCAGAGCTGTTGGAGGAGTCATAAGACCTCAGCTCAGGCTGGGCATGGTGGCTTACACTTGTAATCCCAGCACTTTGGGAGGCCACACCAGGAGGATCACTTGAGGTCAGGAGTTTGAGACTAACCTGGCCAACATGGCAAAATCCCATCTCAGCTAAAAATACAAAAATTAGCTGGGCATGATGGCATGTGCCTGTAGTCCCAACTGCTTGGGAGGCTGAGTCAGGAGAATCATTTGAACTCAGGAGTTACAATGAGCCCATGCCACTACACTCCAGCCTGGGTGACAGAGCAAGACTCCATCTCAAAAAAACAAAAAGACCTCAGCTCAGAGCAGAAACTGTCACTACTACTTTTGTTTCATTGGCTGAAACAAGTTACATGGCCAAGTTCACCACCCATAAGGATGGTCTTGCAATAAGGGACATAAAGTCCCCTTGTATAAAAGATCATAAAAATAGAAATAGATGGGACTAGTGGAAGCTAATTCTACGCATTTGGCACTACCAGAATGCTTCCTGAACATCTTTGGGAAAACGATTTTTTCTTTTCTTTCTTTCTTTCTTTCTTTCTTTCTTTCTTTCTTTCTTTCTTTCTTTCTTTCTTTCTCTTTCTTTCTTCTTTCTTTTCTTTCTTCTTTCCTTCTTTCTTTGTTTTCTTTCTTTCTTTCGGAGTCTTGCTCTGTTGTCAGGCTGGAGTGCAATGGCACAATCTCGGCTCACTGCAATCTCTGCCTCCTGGGTTCAAGCAATTCTCCTGTCTCAGCCTCCCAAGTAACTGGGATTACAGGTGCCCGCCTACCATGCCCAGCTAATTTTTGTATTTTTTAGTAGAGACAGAGTTTCACCATGTTGGCCAGGCTGGTCCTGAACTCCTGACCTCAGGTAATCTGCCTGCATTGGCCCCCACAAAGTGCTGGGATTACAGGCGTGAGCCAATGTGCCCGGCCGGAAATGATTCTCTCTCTGTGTATGAAGTATCCCTAAAGAAGCTTTCACGTCGGGAGTCCCAGGCCATCTTCTGCATCCCAGCAGCTGTGGAGAACCAGGCAAGTTTAGTATGATTAATGGTAATGTGGGCATCGGTGACACCACTGGGCAATGAAAAGACCCATGGAGATCTAGCTGATTTTCCCTTTCTACTTTTTGAGGCAATAGTAAGCTAAATTGACCCCTTAGCATAGTAAGCACCACACCCCTAGAGTCTTTGACCTTAGCATGAAGGACTTGGGGAGCAAAGACATGCTTGCAAAACAAGAGATTTTCCTTCTCAGAGGGGTTACAACGTAAATAGTCTCAATTATTTTGCATGCCAGGTACAAAGAAGCAGGTCATATTGATTAGGCTAAAATAAAGAAGACATTATCCCTGCCCTCTAGGATTTAATAGTATTTACAGAAAATAAGAGTGCAATTATAGATATTTAGCATCTATTCCAGCTCTACGATTCTATAATCTTAAGATATGGTGCATCTTCTCTGTATCATACTTGTTTAGCAGGCCAAATGTGCAAGAGTGCCAAATTTAACAAGCTGTTTTATGCCAATGTCAGCACTCCTTATAGGATAAAGATTTGAGTATCTACTGATCTAAAACATCAACTACCTGATTGCAACATCAAACAGCAAGCTGGAAGACTTGCCAACTTCTATGAGAAAGTACCTGACATTTCAAAACATATAGCTCTGGGCAAGGCTGAATCTGAGGACTGACATGTAATGGGATTAATTGCTCTTATGACAGTAGACAAGTCCCTGTCTCACTCTATCAACTAAATAAGTATTTTAACACCAGAAAAAGAGATGTGTGAAAACAAAGGCAATATTATTATCAGTCTTCTGCTTCTTGGCACTGTCAAGACTCAGACAGCCAAGCCCATGCAATCCCTAAGTCATGTGGGAGTACAACAGTTAATTCACTCCAACCTCCATCCATGTCAACAGTGGGCCCATGAGCTACAGTGTTTGCTCTACAGAAAGGTCTGACTTTATATTACTTTGATTACTTGATTCCACTGTGGGTCCTCTGGGGGAACTTGAGTCTTGGGCTTAAGTCCATGCCATTTGCCTGGTGCCCAACTCTGTCCAACTTCCTTTCTTCAAAAGTTAGCTCCAACTCTCCTATTTCAAGGTGATGAACAATATTCTGTTGGAACTCAGAAGCTTCTTGAACCCATGTATCTTTGAGTAATAGTGCTGCCAGGAGGCCCCTTTTGTTATATTCTTCTACTACCTGAGAAGATCCGGTGGAGGGAGCAAGTCTAAATCAAGAATGAATTAGCCACATCACTCTTGACTTTTCTATCCAATAATAGGGGCAAATAGTATGAATATCAGAGTTCTTCCTAGTGCCAGAGCCAATACTGAGGTCCCAACATGCTTCCCAGAGGACCCATTCAAGTGGGGAAACCATATCTATGTGTGTCATCACAAAGAATAAATATACTTATGTTAAATAAATACAATACCATTAGCATCTTACTTTTTCTTTTTCCTAATGCTGTGTTATCATAAGAAATGACAGACCACTTAAGGTTTATGCATGTGACTGTTTTTGCCCCAGGATTCTACTAAAATCTTGAGAAGTTAGATCCCCAAATTGCATATGGATTATTTATTAGGATGGTGAAATTATTTAATCAAAATGTAAAAATGATGAGACTTGGGACTCTTACTGAATCCGTGATCAAATTACTGTTATATAATATGAAAATTATCTGCTTGAAAATTTCTAGAGATTGCTGTCAGGCACAGTAAATTACCATACAGCATTAAGTAACCAAGGGGTAATTGTGGAAATGAATATTTCAAAAGCAGAACTGTGGCTGGGAACAATGACCTTTGTTTTGGTTAATAAATATATACTTTTCAAGATAAATAATATTTTAATCTGTTTTTTCTGTGTTTTAAAAATGAACCAATAGCCGGGCACAGTGGCTCATGCCTGTAATCCCAGCACTTTCGGAGGCCGAGGCGGGTGGATCACTTGAAGTCGGGAGTTCAGAATGAGCCTAGCCAACATGGTGAAACCCCTCCTCTACTAAAAATACAATAATTAGCCGGACATGGTGATGGACACCTGTAGTCTCAGCAACTCAGGAGGCTGAGGCAGGAGAATCACTTGAACCCAGGAGACAGAGGCTGCAGTGAGCCAAGATTGCAGCCACTGCACTCCAGGCTGGGTGAGACTCTGTCTCAAAAAAAAAAAAAGACAATAAAATCAAGAGCCAATATGGATATAATATTATTAACTAAAGTTCATAGCTTACATTAGGGCTCACTCTTCCCATTGCATGTTTTGTGGGTTTTGACAAGAGTATAATGATTATGGGTATGAGCCACTGCGCCCTGCCAAATGTATTTTTAAAAAATTTGCGGGGGCGGGGAGCAGGTGTGGTGGCTCATGCCTGCAATCCCAGCACTTTGGGTGGCCGAGATGGGTGGATCACCTGAGGTCAGAAGTTTGAGACCAGCCTGGCCAACAAGGTCAAATCCTGTCTCTACTAAAAATACAAAAATTAGCTGGGCGTGGTGGCACACACCTGTAATCCCAGCTATTTGGGAGGCTGAGGCAGGAGAATCACTTGAACCTGGGAGGCAGAGGTTGCAGTGAGCCAAGATCGTGCCACTGCACTCCAGCCTGGGGGACAGAGTGGGACTCCATCTCAAAAAAAAAAAAGAAAAAAAATTGTTGGGTGTTTTTCAAATTTCAAAAGTAAAATGGTTCATTTTGAAAACAAAAATACAGAAGAGCAAAAAATATAAAGAAAAAATCAGCCACAATCCCTGTCCTGAGAAATACAGATGCTATTTGATGTATATGTGTATATACAAATTTTTAGAACATAATTAGGAGTATTCTTTCACATTGATACCTACTTTTTCACTTAGCAAATAAATGTCTCTGACATTACTTTTTCTACCATCATTAGGTATTTTTTATCTGGCATGATTATTCATGGTTACTTCATATTCCATCATATGGATATGGTGTGATAAATTTAGCCAGTTTCCTAATATTTAGCTCCTGAGTTGTTTCCATCTTTTGTGTAATCTGTTTTAACTGTGATAAATACTCCTTAAATAAATA